GCTTCTGCTGTGTTCACCCGCCAAATATAAACAGAAAGCTAGCTCACCGCCCCCCATCCCGCTGAAAATACGCTTGTGAATATATTACAAATAAAAATGTAAAGCAAAGCAAAACGAATCAGAAAAGAGACCTTGTCCGCGAGACAGATTTCAGGATCCTTCCCATTTTAATTTCTAAACACATGAAATATCTCCACCGCGTTTTCTGGAGCTAAAACTGGGGGAGGAAATATTTAAAAAAACCAACAAAAACAACAACAACCCCCCCCCCCAAACAAACAAGAAAACTCCCAAACCCACAGAGTGAAGCGATCTTCTGAGACCTGGCTCCATTAAGATTAGTCCATGTTCCACACTTCGGGTGAAAGCAGTGACATTGTTTTCGAACGCACCTTTTTTATAGGAGGTGACTTTTGAATGTTTGGATCGACTGAAACAGGTAGGTCCATATGTAGTGTGCGCCTGAGAATTTTTAGGTCGCCTTCGCAAATTTTCTCGGACTCTTCCTCTTCTGCATTAGCCGTTACAAATTCTTCTTATTTTGTAATTATCTGAGCAACCCCCCCTTAGCACGCAGTGGGAGGGAGAGAGTTAAGATGTCCTGCGAAACCCGCTCGTAAAGCTGTTTACTTCCATTAGAAACACATGAATATCCTGAAATACAAAGTGTCTTTAAAACGGACTAAGGAATGTTTATCTCAATTAGAAATTGTGGAAGAAAACAGCGGTGACAGGACTGCTCCAAATTACACTTTTGGCAGGTAAATTTCATTTGCTCATGAAAATCAAATTCGATTAAGGCTCTTGCTCCTGCTATCACTTTACTCCCCCGTCTTCCAAGACTCCTGAGCTCTGCAGAATGGAGAGTATTATTAGTAACTAAGATCACCCTCTAGTTCCTCCATTATCAGCTAAGATCTTTTAGCGGGTTTAGAGGGATTTAACTCCGTGACAAACGTATATTTTCAGCAATCAGACACGATTTTTTTTTCTTCATGCTCATTAATTAGCTCTAAGCAGTGGATGGAAAACTAGACTGGATTTCTTTGGGCAACATTTTGGGATTTTTTTTTCTGCATTCGTACGATTGTGATTATCCTACAAGAAATCAGCCTTTCCCTCAGTCGGGCATTCCCGCGGCAGGGCTGTGGAGGGTGCATGTGTGTGTTATCACTCCAAGACTGGTTTGGGGAAAAAAAAGCCTTTTAGATACTCAGCCGACAACTCCGTATTTGCAAAACCTGACATTCAACTGAAAGACCTTTTGGTTTCTCTAAGAAAAGTGAAATTTTAGGGCCTCTTTAGAAAAAAGAGAGTGGACATATTTCTATCACATAGAGAGTTTTAAAAATAATTTATATTTTCACCTTTAAGTCCAATTTGCTTCAGTCCTCACTGCGGCATGATCATCCTTGGTTTCATAGCGTCAGGAACACACATTGACATGGTTTAAAGCACTTGTAAGGGCCAAATTCTGCTCTTTCTTACACCCGTGAAGTGGGTGAAATGTGTCTGACCACTCTCAGTGCAGCCAAGGGAAGAAAGTGCCACTTAATCTTTTTGTAATAGCTGAGATGGGCATGGCCGTGTACCGGGTGACCACTGCCGGATAGGAGCCCCACTTAGAAACTGCCTGGCTATGAAAAGACTCAGGACCTTTCAAAATCCTCCTACCGATCATGGTTGTTCATCGTCTTGCTCCCCAAGGAATTAATACTCGTTTTAGAGGAAACGATTCAACAGATGCATTTCTCTCCAAGTTGTTTTACACTCTATATAAATGCAAAGCAGTTCGGAGGTCTGCATCAGCTCTCCTGGAAATTGCTATGGTTCTACCATACGCTCGTATGTGCTGTATTCTAACTTTATTTTGCGTGAAAAATACAAAAAAAAATTTGGAAGAAGCTTTGATTGGTCTGTCGGTTGCATGTATGGAAGCATTCAATTATCAAGTAAATTTTCCAAAGACGATCAAATCAAACAGTGGCTTCAGGTAAACTCCTCCTTAGTTTTGTTTGATTTATGCAACACATTTCAAGACTTACGTTGCAAAAAGTAAAAGCTCTTCCACAACTGGTAGGGAATGGTATATGTTCAAGGCAGGGGAGTACGCTCGGGCATATTTTTATCCCGGGTGTTCATTACAGGGTCCATGAGTTTCGAAGAACATCTGTTCTGCTCCATGCCTTCAGCCCTCACGGTTCCTTTCTAATATTTAATGGCAGATCCCCACTAAGGCAGGAAGAAATTATAGCTGAGGAATGAAAATTGGGTATCGGGGGCATAAAAAATAGTTGGCAAGGCTTTTCTTCTCTCTCGGTGTCAACAATTTATTAAAAGTGATTCAAATTAGGAAACCAAAGCAAAGGCGTGAAATCCTCTGTCCGACAATAACTTTTATTCCAGTGGTACATACACACCCTGCAGATGTCATTTTGCCTATTTTGAGGAAACAGTCTCATTCCCAAAATCACCCCTACATCATGGCAAACAGGGTTGTATTACTGCTCTTATCAGCAGTGAAAAGCACGGCCTTCGTCCCTAACTATTAAATAGAGCTGTTGAGCGAGAGAGAGATGCAGAGAAGGGAGAAGAGAAAGCTCTCTAATCTAATCTCCCTTCCCCCTGTAACACATAGGGCAGGAACAGCCTCAAGTGGGTAAACAAAACAAAAAAACAACCACTAAAACTGAGCAGACAGGATGCTCCCGCTTTCCCGTCGCCTTGATCCCCCCCCCCCCCCTCCAATATTTGTACAGTTTGCACCGGGGCTGAAAGCTACGGTTTCACATGGATTCACTCTCCTTATGGAAAGTAGCTTGAAAAGTAGAGCCAGATAAGCGAGAAAACCTCTGAGGCTGAGGGTGAAGGGAATTTGGAGAGGGGAGGCGGGCTGGGTAGGGGGGGAGAGGGGAGCTGGAGAGATTAGTGTTCTCATGGCTACCCGCTTTTTAACAAATCAGACAGATCTTCGGGCTGTGAATGACAGTCCTCACATTGGCTAGACTGCAACTTTCAACTTGACCTTGGCCTCTAGCCGTGCCCAACCCGTATGTAAAACAGCGCTGCCCCATAGAGCTGTCTTCCCTTCCCACTTCTCCCCCCTCGTCCTGCAACGCGATTTTCAGAAGCAGCCTCGAGAAACCAGAGGGAAACACCAATTCATGCCAGTCAAGCAATGTTTGGCCGGGGGAATCCACAGGTTTCAAAACTGGAGCCTGAAAGAAAAGGAAAAATATGCGGGGAATAAATATTTGCTTTTGGCCATGAGGAAGAATGCGGAAAAGAGTATGCGAAGTGAAAATGGGAACTATTTATTGGCTACAATGAAGGAAAAAAGCGGCTAAATGCTGCCAAATTAGCAGGGGATGACAGGACTTCAGGTATCCTAACTCATGGCACGGAAAAAGTACCTTGAAAAAAAATCCTTGGGCGCCAAAGAGCTATTTCTCATGGCTGGCAACTCTGCGCTAGGCAAGGAAAAGCCTGCTCGGTAACGATGTGCGTCCCGGGATTGCTCTGCGCTTGTAGCCATGCGGGCAAAACAATGCTACAACGTCAATGGGAAGCACAATAGGATAATAAATACGCCGAGCTGTCAGGCTCAAAACAAAGCAACATGCAACTGGGGAAAAAAATTAGTTTTCAGGATGGGAGTGTTTGTGGCTGTTTTGTGCACACGCATGAGAGCTGAGAGCTGTTAACGATGAGATGAACGCTGGTTTAGGTCAAGTTTATTGATAGCTCAGTGATGGAGTGTTTTGAGTTCAAGGTTGTGCGCGAAAAGCTTGTGGGGAAAAGCATCCGCCGACGTGGTGGAATGATTAAAAATTGAAATTATTTCGTCCTATGAAAAATCTATCACGAAAAGAGAACGCACTTGGTTTGTTTTTCCCTAGCATTCGCTTGCAAAGTGGTACAACCTTCATCAAAAAACATATTTTTCAACTGATGATCCCTTTTGTTTTTCCAGCGCACACACACACACAAAGAGCTATGTGTCCGTGCACACACTATATAAGCCGATGTGATATTTTACAGCCGTAAAAGATTGAAGTCGAATTGTAGGCCCGGATTTTATTATTACGGCAACAAATAATACAGCGGAATCGCGATGAACATCCAGTTAACCCTCCCGCTCCCCAAGCCCTTTCTAAAAGATAGTAGTAAATAAAATGGGGGGTTCCCGGTCTGTTCCTCTTATCTGACTTCTGAGGCTTCGTGGCGAGAAGAGCGAGATGGGTCTTGGGCTTGCGACGGGCGGGAAGGAAGGAAAAAACCACCCAGAAAGGAGCCCCGGGAGGCTCTGTTCCGAGAGCCTTATGCGTCCCGGCGTTGCGCCCGGAGAACGCTTCTCCGCCCGCAGCTTGCGGTGGGCTCCCCGCGTCACCCGGCCGAGGCCCCGCCAGCGGCGACTCGGACCAGTGGAGGAAGGGGGTCGAAGGGGTGCGGCTCATCTTCCCCCGGAGACGAGGGGAGGCCTTCGGGGTTTCCGCGGCGCTCAGGACAGGGAGGGCCCACGGAAAGCAGCGCAAGGGAGATTCGGGTGGGGTGCCGGGGGGAGCCCTGTACCTCGGGGGGCGCGCCGCGGCAACAACGGGGCCAAAAAGCTCACGCCTCGATGGCGAGGGAGGGCCAGAGGGAGGAAGGAGGGAGGGAGGGAGGGAGGGAGGAGGGACGGGCGGGTTCCCCCCCCCGCGTCGCCCGCGTCCCGCGCGGCGGCGGCGGGACCGCGCCGTGCCCGCGCCCATGCCCGTGCCCGCGCCCCGGGCCGGGACCCGGCCCCGCGCGCTGATTGCGTTATTTAATTATCTCCACTTTATTCCCTCAGATGTTTATCAGCTGCTTTGCATATCACGTGGGGGCGGGCGGGCCAATGAGGGCCGGACTGGCGCGACGCTGGCGCGTCAGCCCTGGTCAAGTCCCGGAGATTGAGTATCTCTTTTTTCAGTCTTTGGGGCTTTTAAAAAAGAGCCACTAGTCTCAATGCGGAGCGGGCTATGACAGCCTCCGTGCTCCTCCACCCCCGCTGGATCGAGCCCGTCATGTTCCTCTACGACAACAGCCTGGATGAGATCAATAAGAACATGGACGGATTTCACGCCGGCAGCAACTTCGCGGCGGCGGCGGCGGCCAACCCCTGCCGCAACCTGATGGCTCACCCCGCGCCCCTGGCCGCCCCCAGCGCCGCCGCCTACACCTCCAGCGAGGCCCCCGCAGCCGGCATGGCCGAGCCCGCTGTCAAGCAGTGCAGCCCCTGCTCGGCCGCCGTGCAGAGCTCCTCCGGGGCCGCGCTGCCCTACGGCTACTTCGGCAGCGGCTACTACCCCTGTCGCATGACCCATCACAACGCCATCAAGTCCTGCGCCCAGCCCGCCTCCACCTTCGCCGACAAGTACATGGACACCTCTGTCTCCGGCGAGGAGTTCACGTCGCGGGCCAAGGAGTTCGCCTTCTACCAGGGTTACGCCGCCGGGCCCTATCAGCCGGTACCCGGTTATCTGGATATGCCGGTGGTGCCGGCCATCGGCGGCCCCGGGGAGCCGCGCCACGACCCCCTGCTCCCCATGGACAGCTACCAGCCTTGGGCCATCACCAACGGGTGGAACGGCCAAGTGTACTGTCCCAAGGAACAGAGCCAGCCGCCTCACCTCTGGAAATCCACCCTCCCGGGTAATACACCTGCATGGCTCCCCCTGTCCCTTCTTTCCTTCTTCCCCCGCTCGTTCCTCCCGGGTATCCCGCCTGCAGGGCTCCGGGATCACCCTCCAGACTGACCCTTCCCCGCTCCTCCCGCGGTCCCCTGTCTCATCCTGCCCCGGTCCGCACATGCCCCGGCGCCGCTGAAACGGCACCGGTGCCGCCCCCTGCCCCCCGCCGGCGCACGGCACATCCCGCCTCGCCTGGCCGGCCCCGACGCCGGCCCCGGGAGAGGAAACAGCTGAAAAGGGCCGCAGGAAGGTCTGTGGTATTATTTTCCATAGACCACGGAGCACGCAGGCTGGGTAAATCGCTGCAGCCCCTCTCGATCCTTCCCAGAGTCTTTGTCCGGGCTACGTGGGTTTGTTATTATTTGTCTGTCTGACAGAAGCGAGCCTTTCCCTGCCTAGAAGCTGTCTGCGGCGGCCAGGAAAGAGGAATCCCCAGTGCTGAGCCGGGTATTAGTAGCTAAACCGGAGCGGGGCAGGCAGAGGAATGCGCTGTAACTCTAACCCTTATATCTGTTGAAGATGTCCTAAGCAGTTCGAGCGATTTTCTAACGCTTGCCCGCATGGTTTTTCTGTTCCAGACGTCGTTTCTCATCCCTCGGATGCGAACTCGTACAGACGTGGAAGAAAGAAACGAGTGCCTTACACTAAGGTCCAGTTAAAAGAACTCGAAAGGGAATATGCTACAAATAAATTCATTACCAAAGACAAACGGAGGAGGATTTCGGCGACTACAAATCTATCAGAGAGACAGGTCACAATCTGGTTCCAAAACAGAAGGGTCAAAGAGAAAAAAGTGATCAACAAATTGAAGACTACCAGTTAACGGATTAAAAATGGAGAAGCAGTAATTCAAGAGTTTCAGAACTTTTTTTCGTGTTCAGATTAAAATAATTATTAATAATAATTAAAAAGAAAAAAAGACAATGAACCTCTTCTTTCAGAACAAGAGATCTGTATCTTTGGATTATAGCTTTTCTTTTTTTTTTTTTTTTTTTTTTTTTTTTTTTTTAATAATGCTGTAGCAAATGGTTAAAATTGACAGCTCTCCTGAAATCCCAAACAGCCAGCCAGTATCACTGACAGACTGTAAAGTCCACATGCCCAGCCCCGAGAGATACACTTTCAATTAAGACACGATTTTCTGAGAAACTTGTAAATACTTCTACGACCTTACTGTTTGAGAGAAGACTCTTTGTGGCCACGATGCAAGAGCTGGTTAACGTGAGGAGGTCGATGTGGACACATGATCTGGTTTTCTTCCATTGCAATCCAAACTGTATCTTGAATGACTGCTCAGGTAAACCATAGTGAAAAAAATTACAATTACTGTATGTTTTTAAGCAATGCATTTAATGTCAAAAAGTAATAATAAACTTCGAAGGTACTGAATAAGGATTTCAGAGACATCAGTAATGAAGGAAGTTCTGTGGAGGATCTATCTTGATAGTAAATTTAAAACATCGCAAATTAGTGGGTATAGAAGGGAAAATATTTGCTTGGAGATGTCTTTCATTTTTTTATTATTATTATTATTTTTATTTTCCATTGATGATTTCTTGTCATCTGAATTGGTGGGGTTTTTTGTTGTTTTGGTTTTTTTTTTGTTTTAATTTTATTTTCTCCTGCAGACCGTACAATAGATACATTTTAAAGGACTCTGCCTGTTTTAAATCTCAAATAATCTTCAAGAATTTATATTCTAGGTCCCCAGAAATTTTAGTATTTGAACATTGGCATTTCTTTACAGTAGAAAAAGAAATTCCTGGGAAAAAAATACCCAAGAACTTTGAACTGAAATACATTTTTCCCAGAAGTATTTTGATTTATATAATCTATATTTGATTTATAAGTAATTAGTCGTTTCTCCTTGTTTATTGTCTGTTATGAGGCCGCAGTAGAACGTTTAGGGATTCTTTTTACAGCACCTTTTAATCGAATCAGTTATTTCAACCAGCACATTATTTTGTTTTTATTCACTATAAGAAGCTATTTTGTAAATAAAAAAAAAATTCAGCGCACTGTGAAAATGTACTTATGCACCCTTTTTTTATATATATTTCTACTGAAAAATGAAAACCCAAGACGTGTAGAGGTATAGTAGTATTAATACTGTTAATAAAATAGTCACTGTAATAAAATCTGAAAGAAATACTCTTTATTTTTCCATTCCTATGCGAATTTAATAAGAAAAATATAATGTATCTGTCTTATAATTGTAATAGTGTTGTCTTCCGTTATGTAGCTTATGCATATATGGTGTATTTTTGTTTTATTTTTCTTGGCAGTGTGTGTCTGGGGGCAAGCATGCCTGATAACCAGCGTTTCTAAACTATAAATGTTTCCGTAATGTTAAACAGTGGTTTTGCAGCGAGGCTAGGGGCCAGGGGGAGGAAGAGCAGGGTGATACAAGCACAGCGCTGCAGCCCTCGCCGGGAAATGGAGGCCGGCGCCCGGCCCCCGGGACGAAGGCACGCTGCCCAGCCTGCCGATGCCTCTACGGGGAGGTGGCGGGGGGGCTGCGTGGCGATGACAGCACGGGGAAGGCCCGAAACCTTGACCTTGAGGGGAAAAAAGCCGATTTGTGACCTTGACTTTTGACAGCTCCCGGCGCCGGCGGCATCCGCGGGCCGACAGCGCCACCTCGTGGGCGGCGCCGCGCCTGCACCCGGCCGCGCCCGCGCAGCATCGTCGCCGCGGGCGGGCGGGCGGGCGAGCGAGGGCTCCGCCGGGCACCGCCGTGTGTGTGCCGGGCGTGCGGAGAGGGGCGGACGGCGCCGGAACCTGCGAGGCGGAGCGCGGAGCAGGTTATGCTTCCCGCGCTCCCTCTCTCTCTCTCTGACGGTGGTGGGACACCGGCGAGTCTGAACTGAGAGTGAAACTCGGTGCTAAGCCGGTGCCCGGCCGGGGGGTGCCGGTGAGGTGCAAGGAGCCGCAGGCCGGCCCGTGGCGGGTGATTTTGGTCGGGCACAAAGAGAAGTTTGCTTTCGCCGCCTGTCTTCTGTGGTGGTCTGTAGCTCTAATTAGAGCTATTGGGGAACCTTTACGGTACATTTAGAGGGTATCATATACCGCGCTAGCTGTGCGCTTCTAGCCTTACATTTCTGAAATTCAAAAGGACCCACCTCTGCAGGGATCAGCGCAAAGCGATTTCCGACCCTCAGATCTGACTGTAACGCATTCGTACAATAACTCTCATGAAAACTACCTGCAGGAGCAGGATTTGTTTTCCAGGAGGCTTTCGTGTCGGGGGCTTTGCCCTCCGTTCGGGATTTTAGCCTTTCCCCTGTGTGCAGCCGCATAGGGCTGCGAACTGCTGTGTTTCCTCGGGCCGCGAAGCGCTGTGGTTTCTCAGGGCGCGGGAAATCCGCAGCCACAGACCGTGGGAATTTCGGCTGCATCCCTTCAGAGGTCGGTCAGGGACTTTCGGAGCGAGATCTCTTCCATCCCGCTGCGAAAATAGCCGAGGCGTGTTACATTAGTGGCAGGCGGTTTTCAGGCCATGCAGTTTGATTGTTCTTTGGGGTGACAAGGTGTCAGCCCTCTGTGACAAGCACCGGCCTTTCAGCGGCCCGCGACGCCGTGGGAGGGACTGCGGGTAAAGATCCATGGGTGCAACACCAGCCGAAGGAGCGATAGATAACTCCTCCCTGTCGGCCGGGCCTTGGGCTGCCCACGGGCGAAGGGAGCTGGGTGAGACCCCTGTCGCCACTGATGAGCCAGTAGTCTCCACAACCTCCGCAGTAAGCTCTGTGGCCTAGGATTTTCAGCAGACCTGGAGCAGGCAGAAAACTCCCGCACTGGAGTTACTGGAGCCGCGAGCAGCCGCTTCTCCCAGTTGTACCCTGCCCGGAGGTCTGGGGCTGTGGGACCTGTCTCCCACTGGCCATACCTGATGTCCGCGGGCAGTCTGCTTCGGCTGCAGGCGCGGGACAGCTGCCTGTCCGCCGCCTCATTGCGATGCTTTCTCCTGAAGGAGCGAAATTGCCTGATGAAAGCCACTAGTGAATTACACTTGTTCTTGCTCCGAGTGAATAATTTTGTTTATTCCGTTGTAGTTAGCAACCTGTATAGTTGTTGCATGAGACGCTGCAAATTACATGTACTGTAGGTCGGAGTTGGGGGTCATACGTAGGATTCAGTCCTCCGTATCTTAGGCTCGATCTTCTATTTTCAGAGTAGAAGAGCCTCAGAGTGATATAATTCAGGGACGCCTTGAAAAAAACCCATAGTGAGAATATGGCCGACATTAGTATAATTGCAACTGGGTTTTGTTTGGGTTTTTTTTCGGGGGGGGGTGGGGGTTGGTTGATTTTTTCTTTTTTTCTTTTTTCTTTTTTTTTATTGTGTGTAAGGTAATTTTTAATCGGAGCTAGCATCTGAAGATTATGTTTTCAAACCGAATTACCTACCGTTCAAATCTGCTAAGCATTTCAAGATGGACCGTGGATTAGCGAAAATAAATTCCCACTACTGTTCAAATAGCTCAGCAGCATATATATTTCACAGGGTAAAAAGGGGAGCGTTTGACTCGCGATCGCTGGCAGGAGTAAGGTAACATTTTGGATCTGACCCCTGCTACCATATAAGTCAGCGTCGAGGCTCCGAGGCTCTCGCAGGAGGAGCAGGTCGTGTTTCCCGGCCCTGCAGCGGAGAGACACGGTAGGGGGAGCAGGATCAGGCCCACGGCGAACCGGCGGGGAAGCCCCCTCTCCCTCCGGTGTGTCCCCCCCAGATGCCCGGGCGTGCGGCGGCCGTGGCGGCGGCTTCGCGCCCAGTCCCGAGAGGACGGCCTCTCCTCTCCGAACGGCTGTCTCCTCGGGCCTGTCTCCAGGCGCGTATCGGGAAACATCCCACGGTGCGAGTGGCTTGATCTGGTGAGTTAAGGCCGGTAACTCCATGCCTTGCTCTCTGGAGCACCGTGAAGAGGGGACTGAGGGAAGCGATGGTACCCGGCGGAACCCCCGCGGCCGTGGGGCGATTCAGGGCACCGAGACGGGCGTGTCTGCGGTTTTCCGAGTAGCGAAAGATTCCCTATCTGCTGGTCTTGCGTGCGCTCCCACCCTCCCTTCGGTCGTCCCGCGTGTCTGCCTATCCACGGTTGCATCCACGCAGTCCTCCATCCCTCCATCCCTTCGCCGGGTAGATGTGACCTCGGAGCGTGGGGGAGAGCGGGTATGTAGGTGTGTGTGTTCGTGTTATTTATTGCCTTCATTTACCGTCCAAAAGCTGTTGGCACATACATTTTCAAGTACAAATTGCCGTTGTATTACATATTCCCCTCTTACCAATCTGCCGACAGCGTCCTAAAATACATCCCTAATATGTTTTACAAGTGAATATATCACCTACGAAAATAATTAGGCAACGTGATACATTAATGCACGACGTCCATCCCTGCACGCGATTAAGAGAGAATTATTATGTATATTCCCCATGTTATGGAGAGTGTTTTAAAATGGGGGGGGGGGGGACGACTTACTGTGCCTGGCTTGCTGTGTAGAGTGCATGTGCAAAGAGTTTTATTTGCAAACGTTAAAAAACGTGCTGAAAGAAGAATTTGAAAGAAAAACAAACAGAAAATTAAAAACCAAAACGTGTGTAAACAAAGTAGGGTCTTTATTTTCTCATCTTCCTTTGAAATAAAAATGTTAGGTATAAGATTTTAGCACATGTGGAGAGAGAGGCAAGGGACAGAGGAAGCAAGTTAATGCTGCATATTTCGTGTATTAATTAGAGCATTATTATCAGAGCAGCATATCTTGAGTAGTGTTAACGCACAATATACTTAAAGACAAAAAAACCCCTCAGTTTCACTCCAACCTTCACTTAATCTAGTTCACTTTCAGTCTTGGATTCAGAAATGTATACTTT